AGTGAGTGAGTGAGTGAGAGAGTGAGAGAGTGAGAGAGTGAGAGGGAGAGAGAGAGAAACAGAGAGACATGCGGGATCGCACTTCCGCGAGGGGCAGGGTCGCTTGCTTTCCCCCCAGTCCTGGCGAAAGAAAGAAAGAGAGAGAGAGAGAGAGACAGACACACTGTCTTCGACTGCGGTATTCTGATATACACATATGATACCATATGATCACATCTGCATATCGTCACCGAGTGCCTTCGCGGAAACAGGAATCTCTGCGCTGCATTGAGAGGGGGTCAGAGGGCTTGGGATCTTGTTGACTAGGGTTACGGAAGTCGGATATCGGGTGAGTTTGGGGCCCAAAGCTTCTTGACATCCTCGCCAGGCACATGCACTGTGTCACCTTGCTTCGTCGACATCGACACTCAGCTCTGGATGGGAGGCTGTTCGACTCTCGATGGGTGCCTGAAAGTTGGAAGTCAGTAGGTTGTTTGTTCTGTTTGACATCCCAGAAGAACGCACCACATGTATATGGATGCACAGTGAATGTATACACAAGCACAGGCATACCAGCTCTTGTACGTGTACGTGTACGTACCTCTGCGCATGTACGCGTATGGTATAGCGCATAGTTCGCATAATCATATCGCAGGTTCATGCAATAGTCAATAGAGTTGCGCATGAATGCACGAACTAACCAATGCATGTATGCGGATTTGAAAGCTGTGTTTGTATATGTAATTGTTTGTTTTGTGTCCTTTCTGCGAGTGGTCAGTCTTAAGGCACCTCAATGTTCCGCCTAAGGCCACTCAACTACCCTGAAGCCAACCCTGAACCCTAATCCCCAACGCTGACCCTCAAGGCGAACAACTCAAAGGGGCCCTCCGCACTAAACCCCGAACCCTCAGGCCCACAAGCCCAAAGCCCAAAACCTTACTTACATTTTGTACCTACTTACTTAGCACCCATGTAGAGCCCCTGCCCCCAAACCCTGTGTAGCACCATTAAAGGAACCCTAAACCAGGACATCTATCTTGAGCTTTCCATGGCTTTCTAGTGGGTTTGGGAGTGGGATTCACCTCAGGTTTGTACTTTGGGACTGGGGACAGCTACCTTACTTTAAAACTCGGTTGAGGAGGGTTCCGGGTCGGGTTCTAGCCCCCCTAAACCCTCCTACTCAAGCCCACGCACCGAACCCTCCTAAACCCTTCTGCTTAAGAACAACAAAACCCTGAAACCTACCGAACCCTCCTAAACCCGTCTAGCTCAGCAAACCACCCCAAAGATCCCCGAAACCTACCGAATCCTGCTAAACTGCTAAGCCCTTCTACTTAAGTCCCCAGACCCCAAGCCAACACCCAAACCCCTCGGACCCCCCTAAACCCTTGTAAGTTCGTCAAGCCCACCCAGACCCCAAGCCAACCCAAGTCCCCCATCTACCGAACCAAGGTCAAGGGTTCACGGGTAACATATTGAACATGGTGGGGGGTGCGCTAAAGCAGCCACCACATCAACACAGGCATATACAGATACATTCTCCGCATTCAATGTCGCAGCATCCCGTTCCCCCACGCCGGCACATGCGGGAGGTGCAGAGATTCGTCCAGAGTATCATGTGGTAGCTATGGTAGTTCTGTTTAGGAGATCTCAGAAATTCTCGTTTGACTCATGCAAGGCTCAACCATGCCCTGTGTTGCAGGCTTGCCTTTCAGGGTCTTTTTCGTGTGAATCATCGTTTGTTGGTTATTTGACGGGGAGACCTTCTGCAAAATAAATGGATGAGCAGGGTGGTTTGCAAGCATGACCGTACGCATGCGTAGCGCCGTGATGAACCCACATGGACCATTCCCAGCAGAGGTCTCATGAACGCAGTGCGCGGACGTGCACAATGATCATGAGATTGTGCTCCCAACCTCGATTCTACCTGATATGCCCATGCTTCAGGGCTCGATTCTGTGGCAAGGCGATGTACCTCCCCCACGAAAGGAGGTACCGGAAGAGCCTGTGCATCCTAGGAAGGCCCTCAAAAGTCGTGGCTTCCATTCCCTTCGCATCATGAGCGCGCTGCAGCATAGGCGGATGAGCCGCCTCACATTGCCGGAGGGCATGCTTGCCGACAGCACGGATCCCCCCAGTTTGTCTCAGCCGCGCGGGCGCATGATAAGCCTGGCAGCACGGGGTTGATGGTGAACAAGATGCGGCCATTGCTGCCTCGGCTGTTCTGACGCGGACTGACGAGCTCGAAACTGTGATGGAGTGCGCTGCCTATCCTGCCAGGAAACACCACAAGGATTTGGCTTGGGCACGCTGCAATCCGGGCTAGATAAACTAAAATATGTTGGCTTTGAACCGTGTACATCTGGATACGACGTCTTTTACCGGAATTCTGCGGTTTCGGAGCCTTCACAAAGTGTGCAACGTCACAGTGTACGCAGGGATCTGCTGCTGTTGAATACATAAGGCGTGGTTTCTACAGACATGGACAGGACTGACTGCCCATTCCGTTATCGCTATCAAAATCCTGCAGCTTTCAACAAGCCGTTGTAGGTTCTACACACACACACACACGGAAGCAAACCAAAAGGCAAGCCTGAACCAAAGCGAGTCAGAGCAGTCTGCTGATAGACTCCCAACAGTAACCATAAACAACACTAGCTAACCACAAACACCACTAGCTAACGCGAACCTAGAACTCACCAAAACATCGGCCGGAGGCAACACGAAGGGGCTTGCGCCAGTCCGCGAGGCGAGGCCGTGGATGTGTGATTCAACCTCCCCGCTCAGGAAGTGTACAGGCTAGAATCTGTTCGGGTTAAATGTAGTTAATTTGGCTTGGTTTCGGAGTTTGTAACGGTCGACAGTATCGGAATGTATAGGATGCTGGCGCGCTTATTTCGACTGAACAGTCCGGTAAGAAACTGCGCAGAACGTGTCGCCAAAAACCTTTTCGGGATTTCCGGCGCCGACGTACGGCGTTTGCAACTGTAGTAATCATCCTCGGTCTGTGGATCCCAAGTTTTGTATGTTATTTAGGCCTTGAGTCGTCAACCCAAACCATGGTTTCGTGCAGTGGATCCTTGTAAAAGTATCTCCATTCACGGATTTGTTATTACTGAATCCCGTGTTGAAGGACTGGCACCTTCTTTTCCTGGTGCTCCTCTGCCACGAAAAGTCGCAGAGCTCCAGCAGAAGAAGGCCACACCATCCACCGTTCAGGCATCCAAAGGCTAGAAATGAGGTATGGGGTTGTTCCTGTAGAGGTTCTAAATATATTGGTTATTCCCCAAGCAGCTTTAGCTGAGGGGTTCTTGATT